TAATTATTAATTTTTGTCAGTGTTCTACATTCAATTAAGAAATACCAAAATAAACAACGAATCAATGATAATTTGCCACTAATATTAAATCTGTTATCAAATTGTCGACAACCTGAGCGGTACTGGCTCGAGGTCGCACAAATAGTGCATAAGCCAGTGGTAGTAAAGCAAAAGATGATAACTTTAATAACGTTGATGTACTAAAAATATCATCCCAACTTCTCAAATCCGATAATATACAACCAGCTTGAACACAGATGAAATTGTACGGTGCTAAACCTGAAAAGTGATACTCAATTTGTTGACATCGGTAAACCTGATTTAGATCTCTTCTGTATTGAGCCTTTAGAACAACAGCAAAAAAATTTTTTTCTAAGCAACGAAAAAAAAATGACATCAATCTAGATGATAAAAACAGATGAAAAGAAGTTACACCAGTAATAACTGACCTATAAAAGCTGAAAATGCAAAAATTGGTAAAGGAATATTCAAAAATGGAGCAACAATATTGAGCAACCAGCTTGGTGAGATCGGAAACATTCGAGCAAACAATAAAAATGGCAACAAGCGATTTGAATTATCGTCTATCTGCAAGAAAAAAAAAAGAACAGGTAAACTTAGAATGCCCTTATTACATTGAAGAAAAAAACGACCAAGTACATTAGCTTTTGTTTCCACTTGTTCACAGAAAAAAGGAAGAAAAATATTTGATTTGTATTTTTGCATTTTTTTCCTTTATCAATCTTTTTTTTTTCCATTCCCGACCATTAGTTCAACAATTATCAAACTGAAATCTAAGCAACGACAACGACAATCAAATATAAGCAAAGTAACTGAAGCCTGAATTAACAACCTTTTGTTGAAGATATGTTAAACGTTGCCCAAAATAATACAACACATACTCACGACCAAATAATTCAGAAAATAAGTAGCAGAGTGTTGAGCCAAGTGTTGTTAATATGCAAACCAAGAAGAAACCAATCCACATATCATATATAGCACCAGCAATTATATTCTGTAATTAGCAACAGAAAAGGTTTTGCAACCAATCATTTGAGTTCAACTAACCTATCAAATGTATAAAATTTTGAGTGGTTTTTTTTTTTTTTTTTTTTTTTTTTAAAAAAAAAAA